ATATGATTGTTATGTAGAAAGTTCCCAAGAACTAACAAGAAAGAAAAGAAAAGAACCTCCTGGAACTACTAAGCAACTACAGCAAGGTTGCAAGACACAAGATTACTACACAAGAGTCAATGGTCTCCTGTATGTCAGCAACGAACAATTGGAATTTGAAATTTAAAACGCAGCACCATTTACCGCAGCACTCACACGGAAATGAAATACTTAACTACAGATCTAACAAAACATTTATAAGATCTGTAAGAAGAAAATTATAAAACTCTGATTAAAAAAAAAAAAAGTCAAAGATCTGAACGAATGGAGAGGAATATATTCCATATACCTGAATACGGTTATTGTTGTTCGGTGCCACTGAGTCAGCTCCAACCCACAGCGACCCCGTGTACAACAGAAGGAAACACTGCCTGGCCCTGTGCCGTCCTCACAACCCCTGCTCTACCTGAGCTCCTTGTTGCAGCCACGTGTCCATCCAGCTCTCAGCACTGAGAACAGTGTTCCTGGACAGAAACTCTTAATACCATTAAGATTTTAAATTCTTCCCAATTGGATCTATAGATCCAATGCAATCCTAATCAAAGTCTCAGCAAGTTATTTTGTGGACGTTATTTTGTGGATAAACTGATCCTACAGTTTGTAGGGAAAGGGAAAAGTCCCAGAGTAGCAAACACAACAGTGAACAAGGGGGTCAAAGTGAGAGGACTGACACTACCTGACACCAAGACTTATCACAAAGCCACCACTAGGACAGTAGGGTACTGGACAAAGAACAATCAGTGGGACACAAGAAAGGCCCAGAGACTGCTGTCCCTGGGAGCTGCTGGGGTGACTTTGGATGCCGAGTCACCCGATGTGACGGAGCAGCACCGTGTCATAGGGCTTTCTGGGCTGTGATCTTTAGAGGACCACATGGCCAGGTCGTTTCTATGAGGAGCTGCTGGGTGGGTCAGAGCCACCAACTTTCTGTTCAGCAGCTAAGTGCTTGACTGGCTGCACCACAGGGGCTCCTTCGCCCAGAAACAGACCCACCCAAATGTAGCCAACGAAGCCTTGTTGTCTTGGGGCAAAGACAAGGCAGTGGAGAGTCGTTTTTAGGACCAATGGCAATGGAACTAGTGGGCTGCCATCTGCAACACTGAAAAAGAGATGTAGACACAGAGCGTCATACACCATCACAAAAATTAACTCAAAATGGATCACAGACAGACATGGGCCACAGCGAACTACAAGACTTCCAGAAGGTAACAGGAGAAAATCCAGGCGAGCTCCGGTTTAGTGACAACTTCTGACACGCAAGACCAGAGGCCTAAAGAAGACAACAGTGAGCTGAGGTCACGGCGGGTACTAACGTCTGTTCTGTGTGGAGCTGCTATTTTCGGGCTCACGGTGGCCAGGGTGGGATTGGGAGTTGCATTTCCCACACTGTGCAGCTGCAAACGGGCAGCATGGCCAAGGCTGGGGCTGTGACGACCCTAACACACTGCCCAGTGGGTGCCCTCTGAGCAGAAAGGGGCCTGGAGAGGGGGTGGGGCATGTTCTCCGCACAGACGGCCCGACTGTGATATTCCAGGGTCAGTTATGACAGCCCAGAGTGGACACCATGGAAGTCAGAATCAGAAGACCTTCCGGAAGGCCGCAGCACATCCACCCAGCTCAGGTAAGTGCAGCTGGATGGGAAAGGGGTGGGCTGCTGCTGTGTCGTTTGCACACAACCTTCCCCCCAGGGCACCTAGTGGGTGACTTCACATTCACGTTGTCCCTTTCCTGTGCTTAGAGCCTATGCTGAGGACAGAGGCCTCTGCCTGTCACCACTGTCACATAAAGCCTCTTGAACACACTCTGGGGACACCAAGGCACAGCCTGGAGGCTTTGCTGATAGAGAACCTAACTGCTGTTTTCCCTTCATTGCCCACTACCTGGGGGGCACACGTGTCGGTCACTGCTCCACACACCTTCCCTGGAGGACCTGGCCCACCTTCCTTGGACTTTGGTGGATTTACGCACAATGGTCCTGTCTCACATCAGTGGCTGCGGTGGCCCCGGCGCAGCAGGGATAGGGGTTTACATGGAGGAGGTGAGCTGGATAGGAGGTGCCTGCTGTCTGCATGCAACGTGGACATCAGGAGGAACGTCTCATTTGTGTGTGTGTGTGCATATTGTATAGTACATGCACATGTGTGCGCATGCATGTGCACACATGTACTTGCATGTACAGACAGTTTGTGTATGCACGGTTCCTATGTGTGCACGTACAGATATGTACACACATGGTATGTCTATACACATGATGCATGCATGTGTGCATGTACAGACATGGTGTGTGGATATGCATGTATGGGCATGGATTTGTGTGCACATGTGTGTGTGCGTGTGTGCATGCATGTATCTGCTCCATTACACATGGGGTCTCAATGAGTTGGAATTGACTTGGCAGAAATGGGTTTGGTATTGTTTGGTACATTTCATGCCCTGTCGGCTTTGGCATGCACATGTTAATATGTATGAGTGCATATGTGTATGCACATGGCTGCATGCCCACATGGGTGGTGGGAGACTCCCTTCTGCCATTTGCTAAGCTTGTAAGAAAAGCCCCCCGCCCTCAGGACTTCAGATCTGGGCTCAGGCCTCCAAAGCTCCCACAGGCTGGGGGGTGGGGCCCTCAGCTCCAGGGGAGAGACTGCGGTGAGGATGGGGTGTCCGCCGCCAGCACACAGCTCACGAGAGCAGAAAAAGTCTCACCCTTTGGCTTTTCAGTAATACCAAATCACATTTAAAGCTACGCATCCTACAAAACGTAACTAAGAACTGAAAACGCCTCTCAGGAAAGCTTCGGGACACACCCAAATCTCTGTCACAGGGGAGCGGCCGGCCTCACACCACCTGCCGCCCACCATCTTGTCAGGAGGAGCCTCCAGCTCCAGGGCAGGGGAGGGGTTGCAACTCCAGGTCACACGTAAAGGGGCGCTATGGGCACCAATGACTTCCAGTGGAACAACTGCTACCACAGCCGGTACCACCCAGCCACCGTCACCCATCATCCACCCAGTGTCTGTCCGGTGCCCTCCCAGCAGCCACGCACCCTGTCTGAGTGAGGTGACGTAAGGACCTTCCTGTTCCTTTCTGTATAGAGAGGAGAGCTGAGAGCAACAGAACCCCCCAAAGGAGGGCAAAGTAACAGCCCCAAGTGGAGCATAGCGGCATCAGGTGGCCTTAGAAATCCACAAAGGACCAACTGCCTCATAAACCAGGATTCCCTGGGTGGCGTGAACAGTTAAGGGCTCTACTAACTCAAGCTGGTGGCTCAGAGTCTCCCAGGGGTGCCTCTCAAGAAAGGCCTGGTGGTTATCTGCTTCCAAAGAATCAGCTTCTGAAAGCCCTGTGGGGCCAAACTACTCGGACGCGTGTGGGGACATCATGAGTGGGAACTCAGCTGCCATGGCTGTCTCTGTGCAGCCAGGGCTAGGGGTTAACGGTAATCCTGTGGCAACTGCGTGTCACCAACGGGAAGGACGAAGAAGGCAGCACTGGTCGTGCACAGCGGGCTCTGTGCCCAGGCTCTACCACCTCCACAGCAGTGATGCACTCGACCCTCCGCCCCTCGGATCAGAGCTGCTCTTACCTGGCTTACAGGTGAGCAGACTCTAAGCTGTGATCCAGTCAAGGGACGGAGCAGCCACCTTTGCACACAGGAAGGAAGCTATGTTGATGGAGACAGGGCACCCTCGCACAGCCACATCATCGGGGCACCAACTCGGCAGTGTGTGAAACGCACCAAACCCAAATTACCAAGCCCATTTCTGCTGAGTCAATTCTGCCTTATGATGACCCTGTGTGCAACAGAGCAGAAGAGACCCACGGGGTCTTCTAGGCTATCATGTTGAGAGCACAGGCCCTGGTGGTGCAGTGCCTAAAGCTCTTGGCTGCCAACCGGAGGGTGGGCAGTTGAAACCCACCAGCTGCTCTACAGGGGCGTTGTGAGTGGGAATCGACTCCACCGCAGTGGGTGTGGTTTGGGCTTTGCTTCTGTGAAGA